ATATCATCAAATCACTGTGCACCGCGTGATGGCGAGCTACCTAGAATGGTGGCCACATTTCAAACGTGACTGATAGAATTCAGTCTACACCAAAGAAAGGACCAGACACATCACACTGGTTACTGCTTTCCAATCAAAATAGAAGTAGTTTGTTCCGCAAGGAATCACCAGATTACTTTATTTAACACTGAGCGACTCAAGAATTCAAGATGCTGTTTTCATAGTAAAAGAAGAACCAACAGTTTAAAGTTCAGGAGTAGTCTGGGGCAATGAGAAGACTCTAGAACGTTCATGTTTAATATAACACAAACCTGAAGATCTGCAGCCGAACACCATCAGATTGGTAGAATAAGCAGTGAAGATAGGATGTCGAGGGAACACTGAGAAGACAGAGATGATGAAGATAGCCAATCAACCTGAAACAGAATCAGCAATAACCGACCACCAACTGGGGAAATGCAAGGGAAGTTACCTTTCTCACTTATCTAAATGTGCCGGCTCCAAATGGAGGTGACGTAGAGGATGAGGAATACTAAAGCCAACTAAGATGGGAAAGGCAAGACAGATGTGAATATCTACTCCGCTTAGATTTGAGAACAAGATCTGGATTTTCAAGATCAATGTCAAATCAATGCTTCTGTGTGGTTCACAGACTTAACGGGTAACGAAAAGCATATCGAACAGGCCTTAGACTTTCTTCGACAGCTTTCTTCAATGAGTATTTAGGATCAGACTACAGGCAAGAAGGGATTAGCAACAAGTAACTCTGGAAAAAAAGATCGACCGGGAACCTACTGCCCAACAGATATGCAGAAGGAAATGGAGATGGACTGAACTTAGGCGATGTTGTGCAGGCCGTTGGGTGATACCATGTGCCAGGATCTCGAGAAAACAGCGAGTGGGACATTCAAGGGCGACATGGAGGAGATCTTATGAGGAGGCAATGCCAGCCTACAGAAAATCTCAGAGACAGACAAACATGACTACAGACAATACTGAGAAATGACGAAATGCCGAAGCCTACTGTTCTACTTGGACCCCAAAGGAATAACAACACAAATAGCACCTAATCGACCTAGCTAGTTGATCAGTAGTTCCACTTCCGGTTTTGTAAGGACTGTGTCTCACTCAGAACGTATATGTGGTCTTGATTCAAAACATGTACAATAATGTTGCGTGCTCTACTGTAGTGTATTTATATTAATGTTATTCTTTTATTGTAGCCTGATCACCTTGAAAAGCTTTACTACAATTTTAATTCGTTGATATCCTCGGAGAGGGCAGCACACTGAACCTCTTTAGATTAACATGTGTTTTCCTAAGACACTATTTGTACCACTTTTGTATAATTATTGTGTGCTGGTGGTTCAACAGTAGAATGCATGTAGTCCAGGGTTCGATTCCCCACCGGTGCACAGACTTACCTCCTTTAGCCGATTGTAAGCCCTACAAAGATGGAAGGTTGGATTTGAGGCTAGTGACCCCATTCGATTAAAAGAAACCCTACTACTACTACCGGAACTTTAAAGCCCATGCTTGAAGCCTTATACTCTACTAGGAATGCATAATCACATGACGTGGCATGCATAATTACTGAAGAACTGTGAAATTATGAAGTTATATTAGTACATTTAAAAGTCCTTGGGACAACCGCTTGAACTAGTATATTTATAATCAAAAAAAACTATTGAGATGGGTGACTAGTGTACATCAGAAGAATAAACACTTTTTCTCCTCCAAGAGTTCTACCAATTCTCTAGGAAACCACAAGAACAGTTGACATTTTAAACTGCTCCAAGTCTGATGGTTTGTCTAACCATTTTGACTATAGCCACGTATGTCGGAGAAACTGGAATGAGGCAGAGAGGGGGGTTAATTAACTTTATAGTTTCACCATGGGAGTAAATATTAGCGGATTTTATGTTTTGTATGCAAGAAACACGATTGAGTATATAAAGTGCACCAAAATAAAAGTGCTGAGTTTTCGTTTCTGTCTACTCAAATCGGTGGAGTGATGGCGATCAGTTGTTAACAGAAGTTCCTCAGGTCATTGGCTTTAATGTAATTCTGTATTATGTGCCTAGACGAGTGCTGTAATCATATCGGATGTTACGTTTAGCTGTTTTAAAGGTGTTTTATCTACTCTTTGGATAATGCGACAGACAACGGCAACCAACGAGGGAACAGGCATAAAATGGACTGACACAAAAGACTTGGAGGATCTGGATTTCGCCGATGATATATGTCTGATTTCCCATAAACTGGAAGATATGCAAGTGAAAAGTAACAAGTTGGCAGAAGAAGCATCAAAGATAGGACTTCACGTGAACATAGATAAAACAGAGATAATGAAGATTCCTAGCCAACATCAACAACACCAACAGACCACAATAAGCATAAATGGGAAGAACCTGAAAGAAACAACCTCCTTCACCTACCTGGGAAGCATCGTCTCAACTACAGGCGGAACTGACGAGGACATCAAAGCCAGAATCGGAAAAGCAAGACAAGCTTTCATTACTCTCAAATCTGTGTGGAGGTCAACAGCACTCAGCATCAAAAATAAGATCCGGATTTTCAACTCCAATGTGAAGTCAGTGCTACTATACGGATCAGAGACTTGGCGAGTCATAAAGAGCATCTCAAACAAACTTCAAACCTTCATTAACAACTGTCTCCGCTCAATACTCAAGATCAGATGGCCAGAAAAGATCAGCAACAGGGATCTCTGGGAGCGAACCAATCAGGAACCGATTGTGAAACAAATAGGCAGAAAGAAATGGAGATGGATTGGCCATACGCTGAGGAAACCATCAAGTGACATCACTAGACAAGCCTCAAGTGGAACCCGAAAGGGAGGCGGCGAGTTGGTCGTCCAAGGGTGACTTGGAGGAGGTCATGCGAGGAGGAGATGAAAGCATGTGGACATACCTGGAGCAGGGTGAAAAAGTTGTCAGAAAACCGAAGTCAATGGAGGTGCGCAGCTGAAGCCCTATGTTCCTCTAGGAACTAAAGGATACAATAATAATAATAATAATAATAATCTACTCTTTAACTTAGTCAGGATTTGTTATACTCTGCTCGAAGAAACCTCGCGTTTACCAGTATTTTCTCATCCGAGAACGATATTGACAATTATTGATACGTATTGGTAACAATACGTATTTTCTCTATGTTAACTAATGACATTAGAAAAATGTGTAACGTGGGCATTTCACTGATTTGGCGTCTCAGTGATTTTTTGTTCTGATTTTTGATTATGCCTTGATTCCATACAGTACTTTTGGTAGAAGTGTGGAATTTTTAGCATGTGATGTAGGTAGTTCAAATTTTTTAGGCCGGTCGACCATAGATATCAGTGTGCGTCGGCATGGAATAGAAATCCAGACCATGTACATGGTCAGGGAGAGTGCTAACCTCTGTGCCACCGCTAGGAACCTATGTTATAGCTATTTATAGATTTCATCAATCTCTTTTTCGGAGATCCGGAAATAGAACACCACTCATATGCTAACAATCAATAACCCATTCTAATTATGTCTAACTGAATTAAAGTATGATGAATAGTGTTCAAATCTGTCTTTCTTAAACCTTACATTAGCATAATAATCATTTGATTTGACCTTTTACTTGCTCTCATGGCTTTTCTTCAAATATGTAAATTGACATGAGAAGTAAATACGTAATAGGAACGTTCTAAGTTAATCTCAGACAACAATAATGTATCATTTTTTTGACAAACTGAATATGTGGATGATGGATTTGTATTTGGTAACCAAGACAAGCTCAGTTACTACAAACTTGACAACGAATTCAAACTTGCCGCATATATTCATTGATATAAATAAGAAGTCTGACAACGAGCTAATAGCAGTTGGAGAAGCATTGGAAAACCCTGAGTACTGCCCTATTCAACAGTTTCGCTGCAATTTGGATCTGTCCAGCAGAACGCATTTACTGGGATTCTAACTGATTATCTCCTGGGTAAGAGGTGAGCTCGTAGACCATCCAGCGGTTGCGACCTGATCCAATAGACCATGTCAGCTATTGATCTAATCCGTAGACTCTTGAAAATATAAATAGTAACTCATGTCGTGTTGTATACTTTGGATTTATTGCAGGAGTCTATTATCCTTATCCGAAGACAACTCTAAGACCGGTCCACAGCATCTACCAGCAGAAGCATTCCAACAGTGAACCCTCCTTTGGATTATATTGATTATTTGTAGCCGCGGACTTTGACGTTATAACTAAGTAACCTTTGCATTAATATAACGCATTACTGCATTTTTGTTAATATATATTCACCCCATCATCTCATTGACTTGGAGTTTTATTTGCATATTTGTAATATTAATGAGCTCTCCTAAAAGTCCCATACACTTAGTCATAATACGGTGAGAGCTGGCTGCTAACCAAATCGGTAGACAGTAATTTACGTCAATGTTCACGTCCCTAATATTGGTTGTGAAAAAAATGCGAACAAAGGCTTTGCGTAGGCGGATATAATTAGCATATAGATGATCTGACATTCAAGAAACAGCCACAAAGAGATGAAAGATTGCCTTTCAGTGAAGAAACAACCAATCAGAAGACTGTGTTTGTGTAAGGCTGAGGGACGTTATTAGATAACATAATGGAATGATATTCAAGTTTATAATGAATGGAAGCAGTCATCAGCAACAAAAAGTGTTCTCTCTGAAGCCTGTAGCCTGGTCCATTTTCATTTCTTTCTACACATTTGTTGAAGCATTATTAAGAATTGAATTCTAAACGACCCAATATAAATAGTACTCAACTTCATACCAGGCAGATTTGAATTTCAGTTTAAAAGTTATTAATGTAAACAAAGAGGAGTTGGTTATTCCATGAGATTGAATTCCTATCAGTAGTGTTAATTCATATATACACTTAACTTGCTATAAGCTTATAAGCCTATAATGTGCAAAAGTTTATAAAAGAAACACATTCAGGTTCTACAACTGATGATAAAAATTTACCTGAATTTGTAAATTTGGAAAATGTGTACATCGCCTTGGTTCACCTTGATCACATGCATCTAACGATAATAGGAATGTTGGATATGTTGAAATTTGTGCAAGATTACTTAATTGATTATCATTATTGTTATTATTATTATTACTATTTACTTCATGTTTACCATTTGTGATATACTGTCTAGGTATTTGACTTTCTAAGTATAATAATCCAGTTCGTGGATCGACATTGAATAGTGTACCAGCTGTTTCACCCTTTATAGCATAAGTCACCTGTCCATTTAAACCTTCATCTGGATCGATTGCTGATAACTGTGCAAAAAAAAAAATAATAAAACAGGAGAATAAGCAAAGATGACGAAATTGAGTAAAACTCGAATATTTCTGACGAATGATCATAAGATACCCAGGTTAAAATTCTTAAAGAAGAATACAAGATCTGAAAGGATGAATATAAGCCTCTACTATAAAGTATACCATATTCTTCGACGTAATGAGATAAACCGCCAAATGGCATCAACAACTAAGAAACTTGATTAGGTAAAAGAAGCTAATCTGAGGACTAACTTCTGACTTCTAACATCAAAACACTTTGGTTTCATGTAGTTTAAGTTTAAAAAGGATAATATCACATGCCTTTTTATATAATGTTTCGTCGAAATCATTCAGGCTTGATTCTTGAAGGAGGTTGTTTTCAACTTGTATAAGCTGTCTCGAAGCCCTGTGAGGAAGGAAGGTTGGCCATGACACTAGCAACCTCATCCCATAAAACAAACTTCCACCTTTACCAGATCTTCAAGTAGTGTAAAAATACACATGCTATCATTTTTGACTGGGTTCTAACTAAGTGTATTTAAGCTGATTTCTTCTTTAGTTCATGAATAATCACCATCCAGGCAATAATGAAAACAAAACACGTAGATCAGCGAAGAGTCTCTTTTCGGCAGCAAATCCATTTTCTTAGCTGTACAATCGAAAAAATATATATGTGAGTTACTGTGTATGTATGTGTACATTAAGTTTGTCAAACAAAATTACAACTAGTTAAGATTATTTTAACTAGACAGGTGAAGGTTGGTAATACAAGTCAAGAAAATTAGGTGTTAGTGAAACTAGGGTAGTAACAAAGGTGATGAGTTGTCACAAACAGTTGTTAAAAGAAGTTATGTTATAATAATATGAATAGTTTGATGATTGAGTTTTACTCAGGATACATATAGAAATAAAGTAGATAATACGAAATTATGTAAGAGATCTAAATGAATACAAGACTTATAAGCAATTAAAGAACAGGCAAAGAAACAGAATTAAGTCATCAAAATAATAAAATCAAATCAAAAAATTGTTACCATGACAGTAAAAGTGGTTGAGTAATTCTCTTTTGTATGTACAGCTCCGGTTTTCTATGTGAATGACCAGGTGTTCAGTTATCGCACTCCCTATCGCACCACTATTACCATTTCGAAACCATGCTGGATAGTGTTCTTGAATCCTCTTGGACAGGAGGCGCGTCGAACAACCGATGTACCTGGCTCCACAGAAGCAAGGGAACCGATATATGCACATAGAAGTGGTCAGATGTGGGATCTTGTCCTTGAGGCTTCTGTAGATCAGTGGGCGACAGGAAAACACTATTCTTAGCGTTGCTGCAAAGAATGTTCCTCCCAGAGATGATGTGATCCTTCTCTTGAGAATATCGCTTGCTAAATCCCCCTTGAAATCCAAGTTCATGTAGAGTTTCTTTTTAGGCACAACTAAAGTTTCATTTCTCCGAATTCTTGGTTTGATATTTTTGTCGATGAATCTCATTGGGTATCCATTTTGGATGAAGATTTCTCTTAGAATATCTAATTCTGTTTCAAGAACGTGGGGACTACAGATGAGTCGGATGCGGGTGGTAAGTGATTTAATTAAATATCGCTTTTGCTAAATGGGTACCTTAATTCTGTTTCTTTACCTGTTCTTTAATTGCTTATAAGTCTTGTATTCATTTAGATCTCTTACATAATTTCGTATTATCTACTTTGTTTCTATGTGTATCCTGAGTAAAACTCAATCATCAAACTATTCATATTATTATAACATAACTTCTTTTAACAACTGTTTGTGACAACTCATCACCTTTGTTACTACCCTAGTTTCACTAACACCTAATTTTCTTGACTTGTATTACCAACCTTCACCTGTCTAGTTAAAATAATCTTAACTAGTTGTAATTTTGTTTGACAAACTTAATGTACACATACATACACAGTAACTCACATATATATTTTTTCGATTGTACAGCTGAGAAAATGAATTCGCTGTCGAAAAGAGACTCTTCGCTGATCTGCGTGTTTCGTTTTCTTCTTGAGTAACCTTCTATTTTGCATCAGTATGTCAGTACAGGAGTTATTAGATGGTTGGAGGCGATAGGTAGGAAGTACTCTAACTACGTTTCTTGCTTATTGCTGCTCATCAGCAAGGAGTATCTGTAGCCTTCAGGGATTTCATCTCCTTCCTGAGACTCGAACCTGCGTCACTGATTGCTGCACTCAGAGATGATTCGACTGAGCTGGTCGGGCTCGCAACTAACTTCCTACATGACTATGAAGGGACACTAACCAGTAACTAATATTATGCTATTAATCCTTCGTTTCTTGCAGTATTTGAATTCAGTTTGCATTATACGAAGGACTAGAGGCATAACCTTAGTTATTTGTTACCTAGTTTCTAATGAAAAAAAATGCAGGTGCTAGTCTCCATTCTAACTTTACAGATGAATACTTGCAATGACTATAAAGTTCATTCTAGCGGTTATCCTTCCAAAAGTTATTAGACAGTGAATTGTTGTCAACTTTGCTATATAGAACAGGATATTCTCTTGTACAACTGATAGGTAGTCAGTCAGATTTCCTTACCTCTCCGTAGCTAACTGGTATTCGATGATCAGAATAATTTATCGAATAAGTGTCATGGTTACGAGCTATACGTTAGTCATCATTTTTGAATAAATAGACTCAATCGCTTTTGTTTAGCTTAGATGTGAAAATCTGTTCTGTAAATAGCTGATGTCTTTTTAGGTCACAGGGTGACATATTATGATTCAGTATCTATGTGACTTGTAAACCAGACATGTGACCCCGATATAGATTAATGTGTCAGCATAAAGGCCATTCTTCAAGTTGTTTTCAAGCATATTATGGCATACGTCACGAAAGATATTGTAGCTTCGTAGAAAGATTGATATAACATCTTTTAAACAGCTAAAAGTAACATTTAGTATAACAGGCCCGTAATACAAAATCAACTATCTGAGGAGATTCGAACCGTAACTGACCGCCTCTGTTCTACGTATACACTTATAATAAGATAGTGTGTATTCCCATCCAGAATAATGATTAGGTCAGTGGATTTCCGCAGGTACATTCTTAGCATTAAAAGCATGGTTTTCGATTCCTTAAATTAGTAATTTCTTCGTTGCGTAACCTTTTTTGTCCGAAGAAATCAATCTTTCCCTTCCGTTTGTTGGAACAGTATTCAGTCGCTCAGTCACATACTGTTGCACATCTTAAAGTAACAGTAAGAACCAAATAAAATCCAGGATCATTCACCGTTACAAAAGAATCTTACTTCACTAATAATTAAGTATTTACACGTTTGGTCATAAGGCAACAGCAACTAGGGAACCGTTGGAAAACTAGAAGTTACTGGACAGCTATTTATTTCTAGTTTCGAGATCTTCAGTAGTACTCACCCACCGGAGTTTGAACCCAGAAGAAGCTATGACCAGCGTGGTCCAGAAAGTCAGGTAGGAGAGTAAATATTCGCTTCTGACACTGGCTGACGGTCGCACACAATATCGTGAAGTTGAAATTCATAGACTGTTGGATTGGGTCTCTGTGGCTGAGTGGTATATGAGCTCGGCTTGTTACAGAAAGCTGCTGGGTTCAAACTCCTTTGGGCGCGCACTGATGAAGAGTCCGAAACTAGTAGTTCTCTCTGGTTTTCGGTGGTTCTCTAGCCGATGTGGAACAGTTGATGATCAAACCTCGAGATAAATGATGCCCTGAAATCAACATTTGAAAATTTGGTAGTTTTAGTAGTCTGATTCATTTCGACAACATGAAATATGTTACCTATATGCAGTCTGATGACTGACTGACTGATAGGTTTCAACGTAGAACTTTGCACAGGTGTGCAGCAGTTCGAGTTGCCACACTGCCTCCTTGTAGTACACAAAGCAAGAGAAAACAGTAAAAAGAGATTCAAAAAAGAGATAACAAACGGAAATGGGAAAGGAGAAAATAGTAATATGAAAGAAACAGATAATTTTGTTATCTTATAAATCACGAAGAGTGAATGAATCTGTGCCAGCCATTAAGAACGAGGATTTTCAGCCATATCACCACCAGTTGTCTCCAGCCTTCATTGGTTTTTACTATCTCGAGGACTCTTACCAGACAGCCGGACAGTCTACACCTTCATACGTGGCTGGCTGGCTTAAACTGACTGTTGGGGATTTCATTGAATGATGAAGCCACGTTTCGATTTGATCATCACTAGCCAACTCTTTTCCAACTCATCGATCCTATGCCAGCCAACATCGCCCGTCGAGGAAGGAGATGACTAGAAATGCATTTGTAACACATGTCCTAACCATCTAACTCAATCGATGTAACTTCACGATCTCGTCGATTGATTTCCCCTCATTACCTAGCACTCGACAAATGCCTAACCTCAATATTGCTCAACCTATTATACCAACTAACACGGGATGTAGACAGAACGTAAGCACCTATGATCAAAGACAGCTAGCCAACCTTTCATGTCTTCCACTTTCAATGACCGTGTCTCACTCACAGCCATAAAGGAGGACGGAGTGGACTGCTAAGCAGTACACACGCCCTTTGGTCAACAGCAAGTTAGATGTCACGTCTAAGCAAGAGGTGTTGTAAGTTGGCAGGCAGATACCAAACGAGCCCTCTGTATCCACGTTGATATTTCGGCAGCAATCACCCCTCTGATACTGGCTGATGCAACTTCTCAAATTAGTGAAGTGGTCAACACTCTCCACAAACTACTTCACTCCCTATCTTTAAGATAGTCGATGTAGTCTAGTCTTTTAGCCTCTTCATCTTACATTTGACAGGAGCCGGCGAATCGCATACCAAATATTTGAAGATTGCTGCTCCTCAAGGTGTTTAGAAGCGACTGCGTTTTGTCAGTATCTTCGCCTAAGAGGGAGAACTATATCATCTGCATATTCCAGGTCAGCGAGATTACTCCCTGATTGTAACAAGTCAATCCCTGAGTCTCTGAAGTGAGTTAGAGTTAAGTCTATTAGTACGTCTATGATGAGATTAAGCAGAAATGGGGGCAGTGGGCATCACTGACGGAAATCACTGGTTTTCACCATTTCAGATGACAGCTCTCCGTAAGCTCTCACCTGACTGCATGAGTTTGAGTAGAGTACCTTGATCAGTGCAATGTATTTTCTCAGCACTCTCTTCACAACGAAACATCACCATAGTACCTCTCAGTTGATGGAATCGAATGCTACTTTCAGGTCGAGAAATATGACGATTGCTGGACACTGCCGGTAAATATGCCTATGTTCCAGAACCTGTCAAATTGTGAAGATAATGGCTTAAAACTTACTTTGTATGTTCTCTCTGAATCGCTATTTCATCTATATTTTATTCTAATGAACAATATTATCACTACAGAATTGTCTAAAGCATCAAGATTCTCTGGCAACAGATTTGTACAGGAGAAGGGAAAAAAGTAACTAGGGTTCTGTAGACAGAATTGAGCAGCTTAGAAAATTTTCATTCGTAAATTAAATTTCACAAAGGCTTTTCTCTGAAACTTTAATGTTCCAGAACGGTAATATGTTACTTTTACTCAAATCTTCACTTTTGCCATATCATTAATTCAGTCATCACTGGATATCTAGTTTGACCACAAAATGACTTTAGTTAAAATTTCATTGGAAACCTAGGAGTACTTGATGGCGATTTCCTGCTTGCTTAGGACTCGGCGGTACTACACACCCATGACTACAATACCATGGATCGAACCTAAGGGCTCCAGATTACAAGAAGAGGTAATTGACGGTTGATCTAGTCGGATGAAATCTGGTGACCCATAAATTCTTACTTCTGCCATTTTATGATATATAGTGTCACCGCCAGCATCGCCAATGTCATCGGTCAATGTGTCGACCCCACTGGTGATAACTTCCCACTGAAATCTCAGACGACTTCATTATGTTTTCAGTCACTAGTAAGTGCTATGTCTTCATACCCAACTTGGTATACCACGCCAATCCGGTAATATTTAAAAAATCAGTAAGACTACCTTCTTTTTATATATGTATGTATGCATAACTTCTAATAGTGAACTAATAGTGAAACCAACGAAGTTTTTGTTTTACCTAATTAATTATTATGACAAACCGGTAGATACCGCGTCACCCTTGGAAACATCTGCTATTTTTAATATTCATAATCCCACGAGATGCATATATATATATATATATATATATATATATATTGTAGTATAGAAAACCCCCTAAACAAGAAGAGACGGCACCTTTTTATACTCAAATGTAGAATGAAATCCGTCTGTGTAGCTAAGTAAATGTGTTGCATTGTCTCATTGCTTATCTCATTAATTTCACTAGTGTTAGCTGAGTAAAATCTGACAAATCATATCACACCATACAACAAATGAAGAGCAGCCACCTTGTTTTACAGAAGGAGCGATAGAAAACCTCTGAGAATTTGTTAACTAGCCCAATATCCGAGTGAGATTTACTCTTGAATATAAGACGTGCTCAAGTGTATGGTGTGTGTTTGTATGCATAAGTTGTCTGATAATTTATTCTTTTTATTATAATTTTCTTCAAGTGACACGGAAAAAGGCTGGTTAACTTTATTTTAAAATTACTTCATAAGAAGTTGTCAACTCAAAAACTCTTGTTATCAGCGGAATAATATTGGGTTGACTGTAAGCCATTATTCCATACAGTCGTGTAATTGAATTAATTTTCTTTAGAAATAATGATTTCAAATTTGATCACAGTTTGATATGAGTTAGAGAATCACTGAAACCCATGAAGTAATGGACAGCTATTGCCTTCTCATTCTTTTGGACTCTTAAGTATTACATAACCATGTACCCAGAGTCATTGATTGAACTCAGGACTTTTAGGTTACGAGGTAGGTTCGTTGACAGTTGAGCGGCTAGGACAGAGTTCAATGTTTCATCAACTCAAGCTCCTGCTTATTCTCAACTGGATGGTTTACGGGCTAGCCTCGATCCCTGCCAGTTGGGCCATGGGTATATTATGCTGGAGAATCGTAAAGAAGGAGAATGAACCAGCTGGCTTTCAATGGTTTTCTAACTGATATTAATCCATGATAGAACTTGGAACTGATCAAATCTCGACAAACCGATGCTTGAAATAATGATTTGTAAACACATGACATCCTCACTTTTTGTAGTGTGTTTTATTGTGAATCCGATTACTCGTGATAGTTTGATAAAGCCAAGGCGTCGTGTTTCTTGTTTGAACGTCTCAGTAGCAGGACATTACAGCATTCCGAATGTTTTGCCTTGAAATATACATGAATTTACCTGACAGAGGCACTGATTTATACGCGTCGACTAAATATAACCATTTTAAGACGGTTAAAGTCATTCAGCAGAAAAATTTGAACTCAAGCCTTATCCTTGTTGGCACTGGACAGTAAGAATGATCTGCAGTCATAAATAAAATCGCGCCCCTTCTAATGAGTGAGAATAAGCATAAAACCTAAGTTCAAGGCTTTCTGTCAATTTCCTCTAACCATCTAACACTAATTTAATGTACACCACCATAGTGGTACCATGCCTAGCATGGTGACTGCATTGCCTGTACCAACCCAGGGACTAGAAACCTTACACTTGTTGCTACCTAGTGACCAACCAAAGTAAATGAGACTTTTTCTTAGGTTTAGACGTCTCTATGCTCAATTCTGGCAGGTGTAGTGAAAAAATTTGTAACCATATGGTCAGTCCACTGAGTAATGACAATTAGGGTAGACCAAATGGAACTCACAGTTTGTTACTCTGATCAACTGTCGGTCTATGAAAAGACGATCATTTTAATTTTTCTCTGTCAACTTCGAAATGATGTTAGATGGTCGATGGTAATCGGATGGTAAACTTGAACTATGCTTTGCAAATGTTGACATTCATCAGCAGGGAATTTTTGCTGCCTTAAAACAGTCTGATGCTGTCTCAGAGATGTTAATCCCCATAACCTAATGCTGCAGTCAGGAGCATCAAGACAATGTGTAACCGTATTTTATTTAAAAAACGTCATTCATCGGCCGACTCTTAATTCTCGTCTGAAGGTTTAAAATTCAGTACAGTATCCTTCCAGATAGCGTTACATTATTAATAACAACTGAGTTGAAGTTAATCCTTTCTAGATGTTGAGTGTGTGTGGGGGGATTTGACCGAGTACAAAGTAAATTTACTAACTAACGGACACTAGTTAGGGAAAGCTGGAAAAACCAAGCGTAAATGAAGTGATACTTCATCCATGTCTGGTACTACTCAGCGGTATTTATGCATGATTCCCACAAGAATTAGTACTCTGTCAGATTTACTGGGAATTTTAATGAGGAGTTATGGTCTTGGACAAATACCCGTTGGTGATTTGCGACGTTCGTAGCTGTATATTCCCAGTATGACGAAAGTAAGAAATCACTGGCCAATACATTCAAACTTTATACTTGATTGGTTGACAACGTCACAGATGTTGTTACTCTCGACCTCTTATGGAGGCATTAGAATGCCGTCTGACAAGTCCTGAACTCAATAATTTTCAATGTTTATATATAACTAATTTCAGTCGGTGTCAAAATTTCTATTCAACAATAATCTATTCCATTTAAATACACTCCAACTTTTTCCTTTCATCTAAATTATACTACTTACTTGTGATAAAGACTGGCCAGGTATAGCTGATGGATTCAACAGTATCATATGATTAGTTGCATTGGGTCGAACAAAAACTGGATCATTGTCATTTTCATCTTGTACAGTAATTGTAACCATAACTGAAGCCGTGTGTGAACGATAGTCATTAATATTTTGATGATTATAATACTTGCTATTCACATCACTCGACTGACTTCTTGCCTTCTCATCAGTTGTATTTGTAGTTTGACTGGAGTGATGATCTGGTCCATCGTGTACAAAAGCGTAAAATGTATATGTTGATTGGTATTCACGATCCAGGATAGTTCTATAGGAATTTAAGAATGAAAGATAAAATAAACAAGCATTATTGTCTATTGTATACCACAAAAGTTATTTCATAGTTCATTACACAAGTAGAAGCGCTAATAGATTCTTGAAATACTGCAACTTATAGCACATCAAGTCATCTAAGAGATATGACTGAACCCTGAGGTCAAGCTTAGTTGGATATGATACGCTTCTTGACAATCTCAATACTATTTATCAAACGAAGTTAATCAACTGCATCCATTACGTATATATCAAGACCTCAAAGTCACATAGAGAGAGATAAGAAGTGCAATAATCGAACATCTCATCACCACTGGTCATTCCATTTCCAAAAATGCCTCCTTCGAAGTAATCTACAGAGTGAAGAACAAACAACCTGTCGTAGACAATATATTTCCCGTCTTCTTTGCATTGCAGAAGCCCTACCTAGAAAAACAGGAGTTTGCATACAAAAGGAAGTTATCCAACCACTCCTAGTATCATTGTAACAAGTCTGTTGATTTGACTTAAATTTTGTTTGTTTGCTTGTTTTTCCAACTACTTAAAACTCTTAAGTTAAAATCCGCATTTTATTTTGTTTCCATGAGCACCCTGAGCAGAACTCTTTCAACAAACTAATCAAGTTATTACATAACTCTTCTTTAACAATCGTTTGTGACAACTCATCACTTTTGTTACACTGTCCTCTTATATCAACATCCAATTCATCTGGACTGACTAATTGTATTTTTGTTTGACAAATTTAATGTATACACACACATACAAAATAACCATATACATATTTGCGATTGTACAGCTGTGAAAATGAATTCTCCGAAAAGAGACTGTTCGCTGAACTATTGGTCTTCTCTGTATTAATGTCCGAATAGGAATTTTTCGTGAACATATAGGGAAAAACTCGGAAAATTCCTTACAGTCAAGAAAATACGTCAATGATTTTCACAAGCCTTGAAAGAATAAATATGGAAACTACCATAATTAAAGATAAATAAGGTCGAGGCAGAAGCTATGTCTCTCTCTCTCTCTCTAGAGGATTTAAGTATGGTGTGACTAACTCAACTTTCAGTGGAACTGATACATAAACACAGTTCTCGTATCTATATCATCAAACATATAACTTCAAACTTGTAAGCAGAGACAGGAGGGGTTAGTGTAGCTCGAAGATGGCTAAGATTGCAGAATAGCGCCATATTTCCGCTGATATCCAGTCAAAATCATTCATTAAATAGAATTATGACAAAGGTGTTTTTCTTAGACCAGAAGAAGATTGTATTTTCTTAATAATAATAATAATGAACAAACAGGACCCCATTTTTAAAGTAACAGTGCTACCGGCTGAGATTTCATGCGGATTAGTCAAAAAAAAGACGTGACAAAAGCTTTTGAAAATTGTGTGAATAAGCAACTCAGGGATATTTCTTAGAAGTGAGTAAATGACAACAGTGCCCACGATAACTTTAAACCAAGAAGTCCATGAGTGCCATTCATGTGTTGTCTATCCGAAGTGTGCAAATCACACATACTTTAAGATTGACAATGTTAGTGGGAAAACGCCATGGCGTAAACTGCCTATAAAGCTGGTGCGAAAGTTGAAGCCAGTTGTATGAAAGTCTGCAGATCGCTTTTTCTTCCTGGAAATGAGTTTTCAAACAATCATTGATCAAAGAATGATAAGTTCTAATTCAGTGACCCACTAAATCAGAAAACTGATGGTAGCTATTGATATAACTCTGAGCCCTGTTCTTGCGGACATAACAATAACCCACTATGAATAAATACAACTGAAATCAGGAACAGGGAAGATCACATATCGTAGCAGACATGTTGATGAAACGTTTGTTGTCTCCGTTAGTGTCAAGCGTGCATCAGTGATGTCTGAAAAACTTAGTGTAGCTTACCCTCACATTAGGTTTACAATGGATTATGCTATATTCATGTTCAACCTTGAAAGAACAAAGTTGAAGCATGCAACCGACGAAACAAATTCCTACTGTCGATATGTCAATGACACATTTGTAGTGTGCAACAATCAAAGTCATGCTTCACACTTTTTCAGACTATACAATGACGCATATACCAATATTGAGTTTATTATGGAATTTAAAAGTGACAGAAAGTTCCACTTCCTTGACATTGCCGACCAACTCCTAGAAGACGGCAGTCTTCAGAAGTAAATTTATCGAAAGCCTACACAGAAAGGACAATACTTACATTTTAATAGTTTTTGTCCAAATAGCTTTAAACGCGGACTAGTCAAGACTCTGTACTATAGAGCGAGGAGACTATGTTCTACAGAGAAATTAGAGGAAGAATTTGTGTTTCTTGAAAAGATGTTGAAGAGCAATGGTTACACACAAAGGTTCATTAACAAGTACGGAAGATCTGAGGTCACAAATGTAAAACAACTGACAGTGGGGAAAAATTCAATCTACGTTCAGCTTGATTACAAAGGTCAAACATTGCAGCAATGGTCAACAGAAGACTGAGTACGTCACTAGGCAGAGCCTATCCTGCAGCTAAGCTGGTTCCCTTCCGTTGAACAGCTTACGCTTTGGTGCAATCAGAAATTGAAAGATATCCTTTTCATGTTAGCTCCAACTGCATATACAAATTTACATGTATCTGCGGGAGCAGTTACATTGGAAGGACAGAAAGAAGGGTATATCTACAATTTTTTGAACATGTACCAAAAAGCTTATCTATGTCTGAAGGGAACAAATGCTTTACACAGTGCTATCGTCAGACAGCTGCTTGACACGTGTGGTCATGAGATGGACGTCGCAATATCATTCAAAATTATCAATAGGTAAAAGAGTTGAATTCTCCTCAAGTTTACCGAAGCATTCTTCATCAAGCGCCTGAAACCTGATTTATGTGTTCAGAAAGAAGCGTTTATTAGTCCTTCCCTGTTCTGGTAACTGAATATTCTCATCTCTCTTTCATCTGAATACGTAATGCCGAAAGTTTCCTTTGTGTATGATCACTATTATTCGGAATAGTGCTTAATATTATGTATATATATATATTATTACTGTATGCATATATTGATTGATTTTTGTTTAAAAATGAACTCTGTGCAAGTATGTTAAACTTGTTTGTGTAGATATACTTAATAGTGACTGTGGCCTGTAAGCAGCTGATGAGAAGCCAACGAAATAAACGATGTGATGGGACCACTTTATTCTGCAAAAACTGTAGTTCTTGTTTTACTCAAATTAATTAAGGGGAATAGATGTATGCGAATATGAATACCACAATCATTTCAGTCCGCTAGATCTTAGTATGAAATGAATAAGTAATATAACCATAGAAAAACAACAATATGAACCTAAATTATGACAGTTGCTGTTTAGCTGATTACAATTCTAGTCTGGTTAAAACGCTGTTCAGCAAAGAGAGGGTATTGATTAAGACCTGCCGATTACTGAAAAGAATTTAGTCAAGAATGAATATCGTAGGCAGTTCATATTGAAACATGTAAGAGAAGAAACAACCAGACTGAAACCCGTAATACTTGAAAAGAAGTCAATATTTCTCTTTACTCCATTTGAAAATGGGAAGAAATAACTGAAAAGAACATTTTCCTTAGCTGCGTCGGTTCTGCTTGATATCACAGGATGTTCACTAATTAATTCACAAGTAGATAAGTACCCTGTCAACTCATGTCAACTCCAGCTGAATTTTTCAATTCACCACTTGCACTTTTGGTAAGGATAAAATAAAAATAATTCTAAAAACATCGAAAGATCCTGAATAAACAAGGCTTGGATGAAAATTTAGTTAGGTAACCATCAAAATTCATAAAGCTATATACTTGAGTTCCTTCAAGGTGGCAGATACGCTTTACTGACTGCTGAGTGACAACCAGCACGAAACCTAGGTTCAAGACTTCCTGTGGCCGATTGCCTCCAACTATCTAATATATCATCAAAGCTACATACTACTGGTTGATTGAAATAAGTAGCTGGGTACCGCTCACATCAACCAATAGTAGTTGTTAGCCAGCCTAATCAAAGTGATCTAAACACCGAACGTCTATTTTCCTCGTCTGGCGTCGACCTCATCCGTAGTAACTCAGTTCAGAGAGCAGAATCAGTTCAAACCACCCAATTTGCGGTTACTTAATTGAGTGAATTGGTAACACTACAAATCAGATTCTCAGTGTGCAAATTAATTTGCAATTTATATTGTTGAAAGTAAGACTTGACCACATTATCCTTCGGAAATCGAAATTATCTACCTCAAGATATGTGATGCGCTTGGTACTACAAGTGGTATTGAAGAAACCAAGCATATTTCCATGAAATATGTACTACTAATCGATTGAGATGAGTAATTAGTGGTATACCGATTACATCGACCAACAGTACTGTGATCGTAATAATTTCGATTTAAAGAACTGCACCCATTTGAATCGTTATCTGGTTACTGTTATTATTATTATTATTATTATTATTATATGAGACATCCAAGTTGGAGTTCACTTTGCATTTTCACAATAACCTAACCGCCTTTTCAATTTGACTTTAAAATTAATTTGCATCTGTGGAAAACTATAACCGTAAAATGAATGCTTAAATATCAAATGTTGGTTGGCAGAGATTTGGCTGGTTTCACGTCGAATCACGGATTGATGTCAGTTAGATAATCACTAAAAACCATGGGTGTGCGTCGGTGACACAGTGGTTAGGACGCTTGTCGACTATGCACACGGTCCGGGGTTCGATTCCCGGCCACCGCCGCACTCCTTTACCTCACACTCCTAATCCAGAAATAATGCTGGTAGAGAGGAGAAGGTTGGGCATGAGGCTAGCAACCCCATCCTGTAAAATAAACACCACTGCTACAGAAATTTCAAGCCACTAGCTTGAAGCCTTATGTTCCACTGGGAACTTGAAGGAAAAAAACCATGGAGTATTGCATCGCTGTTTCGTTCTCCTCTATTTAGGACTCTTCATCGGTATCCACCCATCAAGGGTTCAAACCAATCAAATC